TGTTATAGCTGTGGTGTGGATTTCTGTATTACTTGGATTTGGTACCTCTTTTAAAGAGAGGTCCATGTAATGCTACTCAATGCCATATGTTTTAGTTCCCCCATTTTAATGGAATAGCAACATGACTTCCATCTGAGCAGAGGAGCAACAAGCATCACATTAGCTCACAATAATCTGCATTTACAGAGCGCTGCTCATCCCAAAGCACTTCAAGAAGTCCTTTTACCCACCACTGAAATGCAGCCATTTCTGAAGCAGCTTTCAAACCAGACCACCAGTCAGCCCTGGGTTTTGGGGGTCACAGCAGAAACAAAAGGGGGAGACCCCTTAAAGCCCCCTGAACATTTCAATTTCAGCCACTGGAAGGCAACACAACTCTGCTTGGCCACAGGTCCCAAGGAAATAAAACAAAGGCAGACAGATTCTTGTAGCCTAATCAACAAAAACAGCCAAAAATCTAACTGTGAGTGCCATCTCCGGAAGAAGCATAATCCCCCTTAGTGCAGGCAGTAAACTACCCCCCGTTACTCTTTTCCTAGCCTGACTCTATACCAGGAGCTCCCTAGGCTAGGAAGAGACTAGAAGAAAGCAAATCATCATTCTTCTGTTAGCTCCTCCACTCATATGGCTCAGCTGCCAATTCCTCCCACAGCAACCACACAAGCCACAGCTGACAACTCAAGCAGCTTAGAAAAGTCAGCTTCCTCCATTCTGCCTGGGAAGGGGCACAAACACCCCATCATAGTGCTAGCTAACAGAGCACAGTTACACTGCACAGGTGTTTAGGACAGGAAGGAAGGGAGAACAGAACTGGATGCAATTCAAACTGCAGGAGAAATACTAGGTAGGCAGATTTACTATATTAATTGGGTTAACACACTTGGTACCACCATCCAGACTGTGATTAGAAGCACCATGGGATCATTAATGACCACAAATGGTTAAGAACTTAATTCTGCATCAAAAGTTCACATATTGAATTGCCAATACCCTTTGCCTGCAGCACTCAGTGTTTTTAATCTAAGCATCTGACTCCTCTGGCAGATCCAGTCCAATTGAGCTGCAGGGCCCCCTTTTATACTTTCTGTCCCCAGGGCCGGTGCAACCACTAGGCGAACTAGACGGCCGCCTAGGGCACCTAGTGGTTGAGGGCGCCTAAAAGCCCGCTCAGGTGAGGAGGTGGAGTGGAGGTGAGCTGGGGCGGGGAGAGCCGCCTGCAGTAACGGGGGGGGGGGCGGGGGGGGGGGGGGCGCACAGGGGAATCGCTCCCCGCCCCAGATCACCTCCACTCTGCCTCCTCTGCTGAGCACACAGCCCCCTGCTCTAATTCTCCTCCAATCGGCGCCGCAAGCCTGGGATGGGAGGAGAATTAGAGCGGTGCCGGCGTGCTCAGCGGAGGAGGCGGAGCGGAGGTGAGCTGGGGCGGGCTTTAGCTGCCGCAGAGGGGGCTCCCCGGGCGGGGGGGGGGGGGGGGGGCTGGCCGGGTGGGGGACTGGGTTAGCTGCCGCGGGGTGGGCTCCTCTGGTGGGAGGGGCGGGTGGGCGTGGTTAGCTGGGTGGGGGGTGGCGCAAGTTTCACCTAGGGCACGAAACTTCCTTGCACCGGCCCTGTCTGTCCCACCTCCCTGCTTTCTGTCCTGGTTCCACCCACCAGGGGTTGGGCGGAGGTTCCTCCCCATCAATCTTTAAGGGAGATCATGCCCCCTCGCTACAGCAGATATATGGTCTTAATCCTTTGGAGAAACTAAGGCAAGCAATTTACAAACTAGACAAGACTGCATTTGTAAAAACATTAAGCAGAAGTCTAAGGTCTGGTCTACACTGGGGGAGGGGGAGATCAATCTAAGTTACACAATTTCAGCTACATGAATAATGTAGCTGAAGTCGACGTACTTAGATCTACTTAGTGCGGTGTCTTCACTGCGGTAAGTTGACTGCTGACGCTCCCCCGTCGACTCTGCCTGCGCCTCTCGCTCCGGTGGAGTACCGGAGTCGACGGGAGAGCGCTCGGCCGTCGATTTATCACGTCTTCACTAGACGCAATAAATCAACCCCTGCTGGATCGATCACTCTGGAGGTAAGTGTAGACCTGCCCTAACAGAGAAGTCCAAGCCATCTTTAACACATATTGTTTAGCTCACATAGAATAATAAACCATATACAGCGTCATGCACTGCTAATAAGAAATGCTTCTTTCATAAAGTATTTCCTTGGGAGTACGGGGTAAAATTAGGTAAGCATTTGTAAAGCTTTTATAAAACCAATCATCCATAGTGTTAACAACTATGCTCAGGAACTGGAATACTTCTGTGTAATCAATCATTTCATTTCAAACCTGGAGCATGAAACAACCACTGGAGGGCACTACAACCCCACTGCACACTGGTGTATGATCAGCAAAGACAAACACCAAGTAGGAAGTAATGAAGGCTTCCCTTCATCACAAGTTTTTGGGGACAGGGAGAGAGGTAATGAAGAGTGCTCAGTTAGTTCAGATAGGTGCCATGGTTTCAAAATCAGAATCTAGTTGGAGGACATCGTAGACAGAGCCATATGGTCTTGGTGGACAGAGAAATTAGCAGCAGCTTTTTTTTAATAACAAAGCTTAAATGCAAATTGTTCTGCCTGGGATTCTGGCTGTGCCTTCCAACTAGGTTCTCAGTTCTGAAACCAGCTCCGGTAAACATAAAGGTGGTAGCTCTGCACGAGCTAGAGTGCTAAAAATAGCTGCCTGGCTGGGGTAGCAAGGACCACAGCTTGGACTCGCCATCTGAGTATAACCCCATTTGAGATCTTAGTTACATACTCAGGCGGCTAGCCCAAGCTGCCACAGCAACGTGCTAGAAATTACACCTCCCAGCTGCAGATAGACCCTGTGAATTAAACAGGCATATACTGCCTGTCCATGATGCCATACATGCAAATGTACTGACTGTATATTATAGTAAGTAAGGCACTGACAGATTTAATTCAGTATCAACGGCTGCATCGACGTAAGCAGGGTGACTGAAAATGTCTGTGTACAGTGGGAGACCTGGATTTGCACATAGCTTTTCCACCAGTCTGGCTGTAGACTGTCTGTGAGGAAGGTGTGGAGGGGCTATAGTCTACCACTGGGACGTTGTCAATTCTTCTCTCCCTGTGGTGTGGGTCCTTTCTTGTTTTATTCAACCAGTTCTCTAGGTGTTGCCCTACAGGCTCAGGAGTCTGAATGCCAGGCTGTGTGGTTATGAAATGAGTTGCACCCAAGGACATGAAGGAGACAGTTTCTACACATTTGGTTGGGCTATATTTAATGTCAAAACTATTGATAGATTTTCAACTGACTATTAAATTAGCAGTACTGCCAGCCTCAAGTGTTCAAGAACCATGAATCAGGCCCCAGAATATCATGAGATTTAAAAACTGGGTTCTTTTTATTTGTCTTTAGTGCTGGCACATTTAGGATTCATGTTTTCAAGCTTTTCTCTGCAACCAGGAGGGCTAGAAACTCTCTTTTATAATGAAAAATGAGATTCTCTAGGACTAACCTGCTTCCAGCAGCTGGAACATTAAGAAAAAGACCAATTATCACAAGATTCATGATATAATTATGAGAGTTGGCAACAGTGAATTAGGGCTCAGTGCTCAACTGATTCAGTTAACCGTCTGCCCCACCATGATGGTGATAGAAATACTACACGCATCTCCTCTGGTGTGAACTCCCACTTCAGCACCCAGGCCCTCACTGATGCAGGAACTGTCCCTTCCTATCCAAGGCAAAGTTGATCTGCCCCATTAAGTTTTTACAGCACTGTATTTGAGCAGTAAAGGCCTGCTTTCTAGAAAGCCTGGCCATCAAGATCAAGAATCACTGCATCAATTGCATCCTGTGCCTCTGCTTGCTTTATCTCTTAGTTAACATTCAGCTGAAAATAGAGTAGGTAATGCAGTTACAGTTCCCCTATGGACAACTTAAAAGTGGATCATCTAGATTAGAAAAGGGAAGCAGCTATAAATGCACCCAGCCTGTCTCACCTTAATTCAGATCCTGCGTGGGTCACTAGTGATCGTGAGATCAGGAGTGCTTGCAGTGCCAGCAAGTAAAATAGACATCTGGAATTTTTTGGTGACATTTCTAAAGATGGGTTGGGCGAGAGCCATTCAACAAATGGCACAGCTGGTGAACAGACACTGAATTCAGCTCCAGCAGACAAATACTGCTTCTCCACTGCCTGATGTAGTCATTGTTCCACGCAACCAGATGTTCTATGCAAATGCCAAATTTAACTACAGGGTGAAATCCCAACTTGATTTTTCTTCAGCATTAGATTTTCTAGTATCAGAGTCGGTCTTTGAGGCCCCTGGCTAGATTCTGTGCTGAAAGGCACACCACTGATAGCATACCTCTGGCATGGGGGAACCAGGTTGCCCAGATTCCTCTAGATTCCCTACATTTTTGGTGGGCTACTTTGCCGCTCACCGCTGTATGGACACTCCCTGTCCTGCCCCCAGTAGAAGCTGCAAAGAGGGACAACATAGGGCCATATCCACTGGCCCTATCCAGCAGCTGCACAGCAGGAATTCTCCCCCAGATGGTGGTTGTTCCTCTCTAGCCCCATGCACAGGCAGAGTGGTGAATAGGGTCCAGACGGGTACTGCCTTCATCCCTGAAGTTTGGGAATATAAATGCTAAAGCTAATCTCAGTTTACACCATCCGAAAACTCAGGTTGTGCAGTGCTGAATCAGGCCCCAGGAGCACAAGCACAGAAATTCAGGGAGCCCTTGTTTAGAAATGTGTGTAAGGGTCCATGTACCCTTCTCTTTACCCATTGTGTAAAGCTAGACACACTAGCTGCCCTCAGCAAGCAGTTAAGGTGATGCTCTTTTTTAATACTTAGTATTGGCGTAGACATGATTTTCCCCATACACCATAAATTTCCTTACTTTTGTTTGTGTCTCACACACAGCTTTGTGCACTTGTAATGTAATTTTATTTAATAACATAAAATGTGCTTGTATAGTGAGAAAATAAATGCAACATAAGATATTTAAAGTCTTACCTCAAATATTAGATAACTTTGAATATGACAATGCAGTAGTTTAAAGGGTGCTAACTTACCAATGAATATAACAAAGTAATTTCAGGTAGAAAGACTTTCGAAGCATATGCCATGTGGTTTATATCTAAGGTTTTAAACTTTTTTCCCCAGCAATCACTCCCTTTCAACAAATTCTTATTTAGAAATAAATGTATTATTTTACAAACAAGAAAGAAAAAGAATTCGGAGTAGTCGGCCATGGGTTTTCAGGTTTATATCCATCAGAGTCTCTTGGTATCCGCCTGGTGATGACCCAGCCACATACCGGTACTATTCACAGAAGAAGTCAATGGCCTGAAAGACACAGTCATTAGAAAAATGAGCAGAGGGTCTTAGGCATTGTTATACCAAATAAGAACTGGGTACAAACTGAATCAAGGTACAAAATACATTTTGAAAAGGTAAGCAAGGAGAAGCAAATGTTAAATAATTACCACCTTAAAATTCTATTGTATAAATCATGGAACTTGTCTCAGAATACTAGAGAAGAGTTCCATATTGACTGGATAATGCTTTTTACTAAGCCTTTCTGGTTTTGTTTCTCTTTTGTTCTTTCATTTATTATGGCTAATCAATGGTTGCTACACACTGAGCCACATTCAGTCCTGGTGTAATATAGTGGCCTGCCATGGACTTCAGAGGAGATGTGGCCACTTTATAGTAGAACTAAATCCAGGGCTGCCCGGGGAGGGGGAGAGAGGGGGGCAATTTGCCCCAGGCCCCGCAGGGGCCCCCACGAGAATATAGTATTGCAACTTTTTTTATGGAAGGGGCCCCCAAAATTGCTTTGCCCCAGGCCCCCTGAATCCTCTGGGCAGCTCTGACTAAATCTGGCCCTTTAAATTCCTGTAAATAAAACTTGCTTGATAAAGTACAAGTCCTACCAAGTAACTGTTCAGTTAATTTACCCATAGAAATATGTTCTGTGAATTTCCCCTGGACCACACCTGCTAATAAAATACTTTTGAACATAAAAACAATGATGAAACACATATATCGCTTGAAGAGGATTTTTCAAATGCTTTCCTGTTTGAATGGAGTCATACATTTGAACAGAACATAGCTTACTATTCAATATTAATGAAGGTAATTACCAGAAACCTGTTCAATGAAAAATGTTTTAAGGTTTTCATGAAAGTGGTTTTAAAGAGACAAGCTACCAAGCAATCTGAGTCTCTGTGCCAACACACTAGCTTCTGAGAAACCAAACATCTGCTTCACAGTGTAATTGAGGGGTTTTTTATGTGAATATATTACAAGTCTTCAGTAAAGTTAAAAATTCCATGGGGCAGTGGAAAGCTTGAGAAACTACAGAAATCTGATACAGTGCAACAGAAGGATGTGTTTTAAAATAAAGCAGCCTGGTTGTTTCAAAATAAACATTTGAATGTTTCCAATCATTTTAATTTTGTGTATTAACGCTTTCTCCTTTTATGAGTAAACAAGCTTTTCACACACACGGGGTGGAGGGCACATAGAATCATAGAATATCAGGGTTGGAAGGGACCTCAGGAGGTCATCTAGTCCAACCCCCTGCTCAAAGCAGGACCAATTCCCAACTAAATCATCCTAGCCAGGGCTTTGTCAAGCCGGGCCTTAAAAACCTCCAAGGAAGGAGATTCCACCACCTCCCTAGGTAACGCATTCCAGTGCTTCACCACCCTCCTAGTGAAATAGTGTTTCCTAATATCCAACCTAGACCTCCCCCACTGCAACTTGAGACCATTGCTCCTTGTTCTGTCATCTGCCACCACTGAGAACAGCCAAGCTCCATCCTCTTTGGAACCCCCTTCAGGTAGTTGAAAGCAGCTATCAAATCCCCCTTCATTCTTCTCTTCTGCAGACTAAACAATCCCAGTTCCCTCAGCCTCTCCTCATAAGTCATGTGCTCCAGACCCCTAATCGTTTTTGTTGCCCTCCGCTGGACTCTTTCCAATTTTTCAACATCCTTCTTGTAGTGTGGGTCCCAAAACTGGACACAGTACTCCAGATGAGGCCTCACCAACGTCGAATAAAGGGGAACAATCATGTTCCTCGATCTGCTGGCAATGCCCCTACTTATACAGCCCATAGATTATACAAAGTTCCTTTAAAATTTGCTAAAACTTTCCTTTTCATTGTTTTGGTTTAGTAAATTGAGAAGCACTTATATTTTAAAACAAAAAAGTACTGGGTGGTTTTAGAAAAAAGCCCTTTTGGTGTTAAAAAATAGCCGGGAATGCTTCGTCTAATATTGAACTGAATTGAGAATGAGTGAATTTTCACATGTAGTTGAAGCCTCTTCCCGTTCCCACAGGAGTAGATAGCAGAACTCAGTCAGGCTCCTATCACATAAGGAAAGTGAAGCATGTGCTCATTACAAGAATTCTCTATAAAACAGACAGATCTCTATTTGTGTAAATAATTAACGGAGACTGCGACAGTATAGGGTGCTCACGAATATGCAGCATGATTCTCCGGCTCTGTAGGACCAATAAAACTTGCTATGCACTGCAAATGGAATCTTGTGCCCAATGCATAATGGGCTTAAATCTACACCATTCAAGTCAATAAGAGAGTTTTTCAATTGACTCAAATGGGAGCAGGATCAAACCCTAAATTATGAGTTCAGTGGTGCTCCTCAACAAAGTATTGGAAACAGGATCAGGCCCCAGGCATCGTGTGTGGCTCAGCACTATTACAGTCAACAGTGGGATGGTGTAGTGCATAGCGATGATTTGTTTTTATAGCAAATTAGCATTACACAGTTGAGTATATTTATGTAACCCCCTGGCCTTTTGCAGATTCCTTACCGTTGTAGGGATTGTCTTATTAGCTTCTTGATAAACATACTGCTCAGAGACTAAACTGCTAGGGAAGTAGCCAACTGTTCCCATCTGGTCTTCATACTGCTCACCATACACCTTAGAGCAAGAAAAGCTATAATTAGACACAATAAAGCAGCCCACATCCAAATTAAACTAGTTCAAGTTTTTGTCAAAAGCAGCAATCATACTCTCTCTCCCTCTTGTCTTGTGGTCTTTTGGTTTTCATGCTACTTGATTAACTAGGACAAGATTTTTTTCAAAAGGAGGCATGAATATAAGCCAGAACATGGACACACAGGACTCCAAATAAGTTATATTTAGGATACATTATTTGTAAGATTTTCCAGATAAAAGTGGAGTGGCAGTTTTATTTTCCTTTAAATGAAAGGGTGGAGTTAAGATTTAATGATCCATTGTCATCAGTGTCTCTTCGCAAATTTAGGTTGCTGTAAAACGTTTGCACCTGATTCTTTGAATAAATGGCAGCAGCAGAAGAGCATTGGATTTTATTTTGATTGCTTCAGTGCATTTATTTCCATTATACTATTATCTATATTTTAATAGGTTATATGGTCTCTCAATATGAGAGAGATTCTTATCAATGCTTGTGAAGTCTGGATTGGAAAGTTTTGTATATTCACTTTTTTAAAATCTCAGATGCAGTCTTTAAAAAAGCCACAGGATTTAGTTTCGCTGCTAAATTCTGCTTTTTAAAAAGTGGATGTTGACAAAGAAACATTACTAGCCAACTAGAGGTAGATTAATGCTTGTATAAAGAAGAATTTCATCTTACACTTCCAGCCCAGAACTCTCCAGCTTCTCTCTCTTTCACTAGTTTTGAATAAACATAAATCAACTGCCCTTTTTTAATATTAATGAACCTGCAGTCTGGTGCGTTGTAATCATCTTCTGCTCTGGCAAGGGAAATGGTGTCTGCAAAGGAAAAAAAGGAGGTAGATAACGCGTATATATTAGACTCTCTCTGAAGCAAGTAATCAGAGAAAAGGCTGCCAGATTTCATCTTACACAATTTTCAGTCTGTACTAAGCAGAGTAAAGCCAGAGATACTCACTTTATCACAACATTACAACACTACAACGGTGTTCTCAGAAAAATGTTTTTAACTACACCTACCTTTGATTATAATGGATTTTGAAACAAAATCCTTGAAAAAGCAGCATGTGGAATATAAATTAATTTCACATGTGGTTTTGCCACATTAAAAAATTTTTTAAAGGTACAAAGACACCGATTTAATACAGCAAAGCTAACAAGCAGCTCGTTCTTACATTTCAAAACCAGACACTGCTTTGTATAAAAAACACATTTAGTTTTGATCATATGCTTTACTAAAGTTTAAACAAAAATACTTACAAGCACACTCCTCATCAGCACAGAGCTTTTTGCTGGCAAGTTTGTCCATAAAAATTCCAGTCACGCCAGGATATGCAACTCCAAGGCATAAAAATAGTATAACCAAATCAATAGTTAGTGTCATTTTTCTATCAATGTTCTTTGCTAGCACTTCTCTCTCAAATGCATGCCAAGTCTGGTAACACTTATCTTTTATGGAAAAGCTAGACATCTGGACAAACATTTCCCTGACCAATGGGAAGAGATTAGATTAACATTCCACTACTTTAAGAGGAACCATAGGGCCCCAGGGGACCCTCAGGTTTTATTTACCAAATACAATCCCTTTCCAAAGCCTTTTTGTACCATTGCTTCAATAAACTGCTGTATTACAGAGACATTCTATACTTTCCTGTAGGCCTTCATTAAGTGTAATATTCTTATCACCACCTCAGGCAAAATTTGTCTGAAGATGAAAAAAATAATCAGTACTCGTTAAGCAGCAAATGAAATAACATCCCTTAAAGTCCATAAATCCTTGATTCTCATGAAATGTACAAAGACAAAGTCAGAGCTTTCTGGGGCAGACTGTCTCTGTGTCTTGTTTCTACAGGGCCCTTAGGCACTACTGCAAATATAAATAAACCTAGTCAGTGGCACAGGTAGTTGAATCTCAGTGAAAGGCTCTGCATCAGCAAATTACATTTGAAATTTAGGCACTGCATATTCATAGCGTGGACAAAGCTTTAATTTCATTGGGTGCTCTAGTTAAAAAGCAAACATTTAACAGCTTATGCCAGAACAACCCTTTTCCATCCTAATTTACATAACTGCAGTATCCTCACCACAGCATGACCTTGCACCCACCGTATGTGTGAGGTCATGTCTTGCATGCGAGTGTAGAATCACATTCCTCCCTGAAAATCTCACAGCACGCTGTTGCATAACTGGACTCACACTGGAGAAGTTGTGCACTTGAGGCACTGAACTGCGTATGTTGTAACAGATTGATCTCTACTCCTTGAAGACAGCATTTTAAAGGTCAGCACGTTTAAAATTCAGTATGATACATAGGAAGAAAAAGGTGATAATAAAGAGAACAGTGGCCTTCAGTCATACCACCTACTTCCATGATCCCCACCGTTCTCACAAGTAATGGAAGGCTAAGCCAGCTCAGTACTTGCAGGGGAGATCACTGACCTAGGGACACCTGATAGTTTGGCAAGTGATTACGTGGCACTCTTGGGAGAGTCAGTACTGAATCAATGCCTAAGGGGGGGCCCCCCCATGCTGATAAACGTGCCGTTTTTCAGGTAAGGAACAAAACAGCAGTGACTGTCAGCTAGTTATTACAAATCCTATGGGATTCTTCATAAAGTAGGAATGTTAATACTGTCTCCTTGCAGTGCGATTGTAGCTGTGTCAGTATTAGAGAGACAAGGTGGGTGAGTTAATATCTTTTATTGGATCAGCTTCTGTTGATGAGAGACAAGCTTTCGAGCCACACACAAAAGCTTCTCTCTCACACCAATAGAGGTTGATCCAATAAACAATATAACCTCACCCACCTTGTCTCTCTAACATTATGTCCTTGTCATATTCTGATTATGTTAATTACATTCTCCCTGATCTTCCGGCTGTTGCCTTGCTCTCCATCTCAACATGAAGTTGACATCTAGCTGCTCTTTGTTGTACCTCAGCACACTCCTTCCCAAATTATGTACCATGGATTGGTCTAAATGCTAAACCATATGGGAGACTCCATTACATGCACATCAAAAAGGTGGTGGAATCCCTAGTTCAGAATTAGGGCACCTACAAAAATGTCCTCCCGCCCTTTTAAAAAAAAACTACACCAGAAAAAAAAAAAAAAAAAAGTTACTCGGACATTCATGACAAATATGCAACCTACCAGTTGTCTTAGGTCAGTAATTGCTAAGTGGAACTTTCAATCGTGTATGCTCAAGTAAAATTACTGCAAAAGATATGGGAAGTATGAATATACTATTAAAAGAGGATTTTGCAATTTACTTCGGGGTGGAAAGTGAAAAATCCTCCCATTGGAGTCTCCTTTAACAAAATGCGATTTTATATACAGATCACTATAGGTCCTACTGAAATATAGCACAGTCTCCTATTCCACAGCAATTTTTATATACCAATATCAAATCAAGAAGCATACAAAGAGTGAATGTGTCTTGTTCTAAAGTGGCTTCATGCTCTCCTGAAGATACTAAGTTTTGGTCAAAATAGCAATTACGGTGCAGATTTCCTTTGAGAGCAGGTAGGTTCAGTCTATTCAGTAAAGGTACCATGTTAATTTTGGTTGTTAAGGGCGTAGTCCTCAGAGTAGCTGGTGCCTGGATCAGAAACAATAGCACAGACCTGGGCTGCCCCTTCCTCCCCACAAAAAATCCTACCAAAAACCCACGCCAGACTCACTCACCCTTATCCAAAGTATTTTAGTGGCCTAACAGGTCCAGAAGTTAAAGGTGTGGGGAGAGCTGAAGGCAAGTCTGACACCTGTTTGTCCAGGTCTACATTGACTAGGGTCTGAATGTCCAGGAAAGTCTGCAGTACAAATTCCCAACAGTTCCGGTGCAGGTTTCATCCAGAATATAAATGTGTATTTTAACTGGGTTTCTTTATTCACTTGGTCTAGAAAAATGCTTTAGCTTTTCTTGTACAAAATAAATGCTGTACCCCTGTATGATCCCCATTCATACTATCTAAACACCTCACAGTCTTTAATGTATTTACCCTCACAACATTCCCATGAGATACAGAAGTGCTATTATCCCCAATTTACAGATGGGGAACTGAGGCATAAAGAGGCTAAGTGACTTGCCCAAGGGTCACAAAGTCTGCAACAAGTCAACTTATTGAACCTGGGTCTCCCAAGTCCCAGGCTGGCACTTTAACATGCAGTTCATTTAGGACCTTACAGTGATGGTGTATAGAGGCTTGTAGTCACACTGCTGCGATCGATGCAGTGGGTGTCGATTTAGCGGGTCTACTGAAGACCCACCAAATCGATGGCAGAATGCTCTCCGATCAACTCTGGTACTCCAGCTCCCCGAGAAGAGTATGGTAAGTCAACCGGAGAGTGTCTCTTGTTGACGCAGCGCAGTGAAGACACCGTGGTAAGTCGACCTAAGCTACGTCGACTCCAGCTACATTATTTACATAGCTGGAATAGCTTAACTTAGGTCAATTTACCCTGGTAGTGAAGACAAGCCCTTAATGTCATGTATTAAAAAAAATTGAATCCAAGTCCCTATTTTAGTCACAATGGTTTGAAATAAAATGGGATTTGGGAAATCCTACCTAACAAGAGACGAGGCTGCATGCACCATCAGGCTATCCTGCAGCAGCTTTATAGAGTACCAGAATGGTCCCCTAAACCACCTTGCCATTAAAGACTCCAGGATCATTAGAAACAAGCTAGAGATCAGACAGACAAGAATAGGAAAGTAAGCAAGAGACCTAAACTATCACCTGCACACCTTCCCCTGCCCCACCCAGTCCACAAATTCCTTTTCTACGTGTATCACCGTTTCAGGGGATGAAGCCACCAGTGACATGCTTCGCTCCCTACTCTCCACCTGCTATCAGGAACTGGAGAATCACCACTCCCCTCTTGCTTCCTTTGGCGACAAAAGCCTGACCTCCTTATCAAAGGAGCAGCTTTGTTTTTCAATCAAACTGAGAACAGTGTAAATATGATACTGTATTTAATCCAAATATATTGGTATTCCTGTCTCCATCATTCTTTTTTAAAAAAGCGTAACTTTGGAACAAAACAAACAGTCTCTTCTGAGACAGTGAAACATCAGTAGGAAAATCGTTAGCCAATAAAACAGATGATGCAAAATCATAGCTTCAACAAAATAAAAATAGCATTTATTTTTACGAAGTTAGGATTTCAGCACAGCAAGTTACTATCCACTAGATGTGGAACTCTACAGTTGTCCTACTTGAGTAACCCTTACAGTTTTACACAAATGTCTCCTTACTCTTCTTCAAAAGAAGATACAATTTTAGTTGGCCAAAAAGGTGGTATATTATACAAAACAGTCCTTTTAAGATAACATCCATGGTTATTTCTTAGCATAAGTGATTTTCATTGCATGGGATGGAGTAATCTTGAACCCTTGGAGAGCATCACGAGCAGCTCCCGCCTGTCCCTCATTTTCAAACTCCACAAAAGCAATGTCATGTCTCCCAGGCACTAAACGTACTTCTTTGAAGCCAGGGAACCTTTAAAACAAAGGAGAAGTCAGTCAGATAAGATGACATTGATTTATATCGGATGGTAAATCTCTCAAGCAACTGCTAAGCCTTATCATAAGCACCCAATACTATAACATTCCGTCACTACTAGTAACACATTTAAAAGTAGCGCAGTAGTTCTCATCTGTAAGGAAACGTGAAGCTACTTGACTAGTAATGAAGTGGCAGAGAAACTCAATCACAGCAAGGCATTCTCTACACTGCAGTTGTCATATCTGCAGCAGCATGAGGTTACATGGTCATTGCTCCATTATGTGTGGGGCATTAGGGAAAAAACATCAAGCAAGCAAAGTCAGGATGTCATACTATTCTGATAGACCATCATATGGAGCTTTCTTCCCATGACACAGGGATCCTAGGAGGGATGTTTTCCATCTCCTCCCCACTCTCCTGCTTCACCTGAGGGAATGTGGTACTTCCATTCTCTTCAATCCCTATGCTGCATTGGATGAGACCAAGAATAGCTCCACTGAAATTCAAAGATTCCCCAAGAACTACATATCCAGACCCAAAGCAGCATATGTGGAGTATCATTGCTATAGTAGATTAATACTTTAAAGTTATTTAAGTAACATTTCCTATTCCTGGACCACAGTACAGCAAAGACTATCATTACAATTTAATATCAATTATATCCCCATGTGCAAGTGCTTATAACTGTAAATTGTCTCTTAATTGCTGAACTTTCCAAAGTCAATCTCAACCCAGTAGTGAATTTTCTGAACAGATGGAGTAAATTCATGTAGACATTTAAGTTATTTAGAAAGTGAGGAAATGCAGAGGAGGAACAAACAGTGTTACTGTAAGACAAATGAGAATGGAAAACAGACAAATTATTCATGAGCAAAACAAAGTTTGGAGCACACCCCAAGTCTCAGAAAGCATGTACAATACTTTCAATTGCCTCAGTCTCAGCTTTCATTTTTTTTAAAAATGAAGTGTTTAGCTGTTATGGTTGCAAAGAAAGCCTTCAAAACAAGAAGCAAATTAAAATGATGCAGCGACATCTGCCTGCGTTTGCAGAGAGCCTGAAATAAGAGCACCAAGATGTGAAATTCCCCATTAATTTCACTGAATGCTAACTCAGATACCAATGACAGTTTAAAATGTTAATATTTATTGTATAAGAACGGAGGAGGATCATATTATGAAGCTCTACAACATGCCCAAGACAGTGGGTTGTATATTCCTGGGGCCACATGAACGACTAGCCAGGATGAGAAAGATGCATTTGGTAAGATAAGTGGACCTTAAAAACCAAATGATGGTTGCAGGGAGAATGAAAGTGGGTTTCATCTTCCCAAAGGGGGAGCTGAGCTTCCAAAAGTTTGAGATTGACTTAAATCATATAAAGTCTATAGTCATTTCTGTGACTGTGCAGTCTTTCACCTCAAAGTCACTAGCTTGAACTCTAACCCAGATTGGTTGCGAGTCATAACCATCTGATGGGTATAGATGGTCTACGTGAATTGAGCTAGTTCCTAATGTTGTATGCAGTGCTGTTGTAACTGTGTGGGTCACAGGATACTAGAGAGACAAGGTACGTGAGGTAATATCTTTTATTAGACCAACTGCTACTGGTGAGAGACACAAGCTTTCGAGCTTACACAGAGCTCTTCTTCAGGTCTGACCTGAAACTTGTCCCTCTCACCAGGAGAAGTTGGTCCAATAAAAGATATTACCTGACCCACCTTGTCTCTCTAGTTCCTAATGGGCAGGTGTCCATATTAAAGAGCCACCACAATTTACATGGCTGTATTTTCAGCAGTAAGGCCAAGGATTAACTGGACCCAAGACTGAACTCTCATACTGTTAAGTATCCCCTACAGGTCAGGGCTGAGGAAAGTGTGTGTGTGTGCATATAATGGAGAATGAAAGGAGAAAAAAAATGTTATATACACAACTTACTGATTAAATAGCATAGACAGCATCATCTCATTTGTCTCTTCTGGCAAGTTATTAAGGAAGAGTATATAGTTTGGTGGATTATCAGGCACCTACAATAACAGAAGAACATAATTCAATAAGTCATGCAAAATATAAGTAGCACTCATCTACTTTCTTTATACTTCCACTGAAACTACTGGAAAGAAACTAGCATACTGTTAATGTTCCTCATAAGACTGGTTTAGACTTCAGTCACTTATTGGCTAAACTGTAT